CACTCTGATTGGATGGCTTTAACCCACCAATCAGAGTGCTCTGAGCCTAAATGCAGAGCGGGGCAAGGCTTTATAAGCCTTCCCCCGCCCTGCAGAGCTCAGACTGCGCGGAGCCCTCGCCGGGTGAAGAAGGATTTTTTTTTGCGCTCTGTTTTTTTTTTTAAATTTTTTTAAGTGCGTCGCTTATTATGGCTTTTTATTTGGCCTTTTTGGGGCTGAAAAAATAAGATTTTAGAAGAAAGAAAACATCACATGGTAAGTTTTTTTTTTTTTCCAGGTATTTAGTTAAATGGTCCCCCCTCATTATTTTTAGGGTGAGTGGGGTAGGTAGGGATTCATTTTTGGGGGGAGGGGGGTGACTAGGGGTTCGGGGACCCCTAGTCACCCGGGGGAGGAGGGGTTATTTTTTTTTATTTAGGGCCCCCACCCACCGCTCATTAGTACTTAGGGCCCCCACACACCGCTCAGGCTGCTCACTGTTTAATAGACATGCCCCTACTCGCGGTATAGCGGTATTAGTAAATTTGGCTGAAAGACCAATTTAGGTCTTTTAGCCTTCTGGTAGATAACTCCCTAATACCGTGGGAATTAGGGAGTTATCTACCAAGCGGCTGCAAGAGACGTTCTGAAGTGTCGAATTGCCAAGGTGCCGAAGTTCCGAAATTACCAATTTTCCGAAGTCCCGAATTTTGGAATGCCGAACCGAACTGAAAAATTTTCCCATGCACATGCCTATAACAGAGCAGGAGATAAATTCAAAATTAACCAGAATTTGCAATAAAGGAAGTATAAACATTGGAAGCCTCTTTGCAGGAAGTGTTTAGGAAGGATGTGCAATTCACATGCAGAAGGGTGTGACTAGGGCTGCATAAACAAAGTGATTTAACTCATAAATGGCAGAGAATTGAGCAGTGAGACTGCAGGGGCATGATCTGTACACCAAAACTGCTTCATTGAGCTAAAGTTGTTTTGGTGACTATAGTGTCCCGGTAAAGGAACATACAGCTCTATGAGGAGAGTTCAGCGTCTCCATGCAGAGCGTGGAGACCCTGAGTGTCTGTGCTGCACATTGTACAGCACTGACCCAGGGAACACCTCTAGTGGTCTCTGAGTGACTGCCACTTGGTGTTACTAGGCAATAATGTAAATGCTGCATTTTCTCTGAAAATGCTGTGTTTACATTAAAAAGCCTACAGGGACAGACTATAGACACCAGAACCTTGTCCCTTTAATCTTGTTACACCCCTAGGGCTGTCAATTATGCATCTGGTTCTGTTACATCCAGGTTTGTTTGTTTAGCTCAGTGGAGAGCAGAACACCTGTATTGCATTGAGTTCTCATTGAGCTGGGAACAGTGGCGTAACCAGAGTTACAGACGTCCGGGGCAGAACAACATTTTAATGTAAACTGCAACATCAGGTCTTGTCTACCATCTTCGGGCTCAGCTAAAGATATTTTGTGTATTACAGCAATTATGTCAAATGTAAGTTATCTTTAACCCCTTAAGGACTGGACTGTTTTTGTGATGTTGTACATTTGCGACCAGGCCTCTTTTTACACTTCTGTGTTGTTTGTGTTTAGCTGTAATTTTCCGCTCTCTCATTTACTGTTCCCATACAAATTATATATTGTTTTTTTCAGGACAAAAGGGGCTTTCTTTACATACCATTATTTATATAATCTCATGTAATTTAATTATATATAAAAAAAAAAAATATGATGACAAATTTAAAAAAATACATGTTTTTTGACTTTTACTTGAAAAATCTTTTACTCATCTACAAAAGCGAATGAAAAAAACTGCTAAATATATTCAAAATTTTGTCCTGAGTTTAAAAATACCCAGTATTTATGTGCTTTTTTGCTTTTTTTTGCAAGTTATAGGGCTATAGGTACAAGTAGGATATTGCGGTTTCAAAACATACATTTTTTAAATTTATCAATAGTGACATTGTAACACTATTATCTGTCATAAATCTCTGAATAACACCCCACATGTACATATTTTTTTAAAGTAGACAACTTTTTAAAAAGTATTCAATATGGGGTATGTCCAGTCTTTTTTAGTAGCCACTTAGTAAAAAAACTCTGGCCAAAGTTAGCATTCATATTTGTTTGTGTGTGAAAAAAGTAAAACACTAAATTGAACGCAAATTTTGTGACTAAGTTTGTGACTAAGTGGCTACTAAAAAAGACTGGACATACCCCATTTGCAATACTTTGGGTTGTCTTCTTTTGCAAATGGTATGCCATCATGGGGGTAATTCTCATTCCTGGGCTACCATACGCTCTCAAAGGCAACGTAACCAACCTGGCCTTTTTCAATGTAAAAATATTTGACCCATATATTTGACCCTGTAACTTTCACAAACGCTATAAAACCTGTAGATGGGGGGTACTGTTATACTCGGGAGACTTTTCTGAACACAAATATTAGTTTTTCAAACCAGGAAAACGTATCACAACAATTATATCATCAGTAAAAGTGCTGTTTCAAAAAAAGTCACTTTCACTGGCAATATCATCGCTGTGATATGTTTTACTGTTTTGATTCACTAATATTTGTGTTCCGGGAAGTCTCCCAATTAAAAAAGTACCCCCCATGTACATGTTTTAGGGTGTCATAGAAAGTAACAGGGTAAAATATAGTGCTAGCAAATTAAATTCTATGGAGTTTCGGCCTGGGTTGGCAGGCAGGTCCCTCAAATTGCAATCAATAAAATTACTTAATTATGTAAAAATATTACATAAATACGCACGTAGAATTTAAATATATATGCATATTTATATATTTGAAGTCTACGTGTATATCTATATAATTATTTATGTAATTTTTTATATGGACATATGTATATTTCGTATTATTTTTATTTATTTATATATACATAGTTATATATATACAATTTCATTCTAAGTGTATTTTAAATTAAAAAAAATATATATATAACTATCAAAATACAGTTAGAATAAAATTTCATATAGATATATATTTTTTTATTATTGTTTTTACATGTTTTTATTTAATTTAAATTACTTATTATTTGTATTTTATAATAATATTTATATACAATATATATAGTTATATATATTATATATACGTGTGTAATTTAATTCTAAGTGTATTTTTATATTAATACATGTACATATTAATATAAAAATACACTTAGTATGACATTATATATATGATATATAGACATATTATATATATATATATATATATATATGTCTACATATCATATTTATATACACATATATAATTATCTTTTTTTTATTAACTTTAACTTTATTTTTTTTAATGATTTTACACTAGCAGGGAGACTGCCAGTCAGCACAGGCAGTCCCCCTGCAGGCATACACATGGACACCTATTGTGACCATGTGACTGCTCTGTTGAGCGATCACATGGCCACAGGGTTCCTAATCCGCCATGGGGAGACTGTCTGGGCTGCAGGCAGTCTCCCCACAACGGGAGCAACACCGATCGCCACCGGGGGAACTACGGCGATCGGGTAAGTACATTGGACTGTTAGGACGGTTCAGCACCGTCACCGGTCGGCAACGCAAAAATGCCGATGACGGTCCTGAACCATCCTCGGTCCTGAAGGAGTTAAATGAGGAAGCCAACTTTCAGTAATTCTGCAAATAAAGGAAAAGGCATTAAAAATATTTATTTTCTGCCCTTCAGCACGATGTGTTGCCAGATTGGGATCTACCATTTGCCCAACCTTGCAGGGTTTTATTTGTGGGCAGCGTTTGTATGTTTGAAAGTAAGCGTGCTTTTGTATGGAGTATGAACGTAGGGGTCTATTTGTGTGTAGTGTTGGCATTTGAATGCAGTTGTGTTTGTATGTAGTGTTGTCAATTGAAAGCAGTGGCATAGTTGTATGTAATGTGTTTGAATACAGCAGTGTGTTTGTATATAATGTTGGTGTTTTAAACAGGGGTTGGTTTGTATGTAGGGTTGGCGTTTGTTTGCAGCTTACACACAAGTCTCAATTTGCATATTTTTAGCCACCCCCTGCTTCCATACCTTGTGGGTTCAGAAGCATGACTTCCTGGGCTCGGGCTGGCTGAGGCTGATGGAAGTCTGAGCCTGTCCAGGCCCCTCTCACCCCCATTTTTGAGCCTGGGGCCCCCCTTTGACATTTCTCTGACATTTTATAAACATCTACAGTAACCAAACCTCTCAGAGTTTCCGATGATGAAAAAAGGGATAATTTAGTTGAATCATATTTAACTGATTGCACTTTCAATGCTGCTAACTATCTACGAGTGCCAAAGTAATCTGCCCTTATAATGAAGGTTAATTCTGTTCAGTTAGACAAGTCAAAGTAAATAGTATTTTGTTTGGACAGAATATAAAGTGAGCTTCAACAGAAAATATGCAGTGTGTCCACAGTTATCAACTGGTACTTACTTTATTGTTTTTCTTTTAACATTTTTGTTAATTGTTGTTTTAAAATAAATACTGTGTCCTGCATCAAATTAACTTCCACCAGTTCTAGGTAGAAATTATAATTATTGCAGTTATTGATAGACTGCACTAATTACATTGCAGGGTTAACTTCACCAACTTTTGATCGCCTTACTGACGCTAGACGTCCTCTCTGCATGATGAAATCCAGCGTCCGCTAAAACCCCGCAGGAAAGCATTGATTAATATTCAGCACATATCTTTCCGAATATATAGGATGATAATGTAATTTCTGAGATATTAAATATATATTTAAAAGATAACGGAGATTCTCATGAAAGAAGGTTAACACAAGTTATAGGTGATTTTCAATTTTGTTAACTCCAGAGAAGTGACCGTTCCCCCTTTTAAATACTGAATCTTTTAAAATGAGCAGTGAATGCCTAATGTGTATTATCACAGTGAAATGGAAAATCGAGCTGTTTCACTTCTTCTGCACAAACTCACTTTGCCTGTCTTTGTTCAAGGTGTTTTTCATACTGGAGGTGGAGTCATGTACAAACAAATTGTGAATCAAGGTGCAGCCTGTGTTTGAGAAACTCATTCTTCAGTCAGAGCTGAACAGACTGTGCAGAACTTTGAAGAGCGAATATGGCTTCTAACAAAGCCAGGATACAACCGAAGCACATTGCAGCCATTATTGCAGTTGTCTCAGTCTTACTGTTCATGGCATCCATTGCTCTGCTCACCATTGGATTCCTGAATGCTTATAGTTCCATAGGAATGGGAATACTTGGAGCAGGTGCTGTTCTGTTCTTTACCACTGAAGTTTTTCTGTGCATGGGTTACATCTGGCTGAGAAATAAAATAAATGAGAACAATAGCAAACTGGCTAGCAGATCCATTGATGACATAGCACTCTTAAAACCAGCCTCTAATATGACCTCAACAGAAAAAAAGAGAGACACCACAAATGGAGATGACCACCATGTTTCTTTACATTATGAGACTACTGGACATATTTCTCCCTCAGCTGCTCCCGAGAAAATACTATCCGATTATGTCATGGATAGCAAGGCTGGATGGTCACAAGCTAAAGTCTTCACAGCTCATCCGAGCAACACAAAGAATCCCTCAAACCAAAAACTGGAAACATTCTTCAGCCCACACCATACGGGCGGAAAGGTCGCGTCTTACGGCAAATTAGTTGACGGTGGTGGAAATACCAGAAAGCTATTGTTAAGCGATGATAAAATTACTCCGCTAGTTAACAAGCCAAATGTGGTCAACATCGAAAAAATAGAGAAACCATTTACAGAGTCAGTAGCTATTCATGGAGGTCTTCGTAATAATGACATTCGTACTCCAAGAAACCCGGTGACAAAGCCTCAGTCTGTTGATACAGCTGCATCGGGCATCTCCAAAGAGAAAAAGCTCAATGAAAAAATTAATCTGCAAAAGGTTCCTCTTACCACTGGGACAGGAAGGGAGAACATTCCAGGAGCACCGGTAGCCAAGCAACAGCATCACCAGATGACACTCAGGCCGGTGCCAGCACATGTTGGAGCATTGTCCAGTACTGAGAAAATGACAACTAGCCCGTCGTCAGGTTTACTCTACCAAGAATATTCATACAATGAAGGTAAAACTGTAATAAGAGCACAACGTCCAGAACAATTGATTGACTCTTCAACAAAAAATAATGAAATCCCAAAAAAGAGCAAATCAACTATACCAGAATGTAGCATTTAATATAAACACTAGTGGTAAAAAACTATTTCTGGTGATCAAGACAGAACCCAAATACACCAGCGTAATGTCTTCTCAAAGGGATCATTCTACCAGCAGGTTAACCTTGGGCCATTGGAGAAGAAGATATATTACAAACACATTGTGGTCAAGAAGTAAAACAAGCATGTCAGCAAGTTTCATTACCAAAGCCATATAGGCGAAGATGAAGTTTGGGGTGTTACATATAAGTCCTTAAAAAAGGTGAATTTGTTCATATATCACTTATTAAAATGGATGGTATCGAGAGAGAGAGAGAGTGTGTGTGTGTGTGTGTGTTCAAGTTAATACATTCAGACTAACTCTATCACACTAACATGTTATATATGTAAAAAGACTTGCCTTCTGTGGGCAGAAAATGTTGTCATATCCTTATTGCTTCTCCTAAAGACCAATAATACTAATGGGTCTACCTTTTAGATTTTTTTTATTTTTTTTAAATGTATATTTTATTTTTTATTTTAATTTGCAAATTTCTTTTTTGAAGGACAGTGCGGTATTACACTGCAAAATAAATGCATGCAATTGACAAAATAGCATCTGGTTAACAAAGAAACTGTCCATTTCTTTATCATCAATAAACACAGAGCAGATTGCAAGTCTGTATGATTGCCTAGGTTGGCCTCAAATTTAAATTTACTTTGAATTCACACTTTTGTGAATAATTCTGACAGATAAATTATGGAATCCTGAGGTACCTACTTTCAAAAAGTGTTTAGGGAACTTGGGCCTTAATAGTAGTCTTGTTGAAAACAACCCTTTTATATATAAAGTTTACTATTTCTTTGTGAAATGTAGATAGGATCATTCTGTTGAGGGCATTTTGTATTAAATAAACCAGGTTAATCATTAACATTCCTTGTATATCAAGTTCACTGTGACAGGTTTGAATATGGACTGTTGCTAAAAAAAAATTATGTACTTAAGGGCCTTTTTAGGAAGATATATGTAAAAGATTATCACATCTATCACACTTTAAGTAATAACTTCAGGTACTTAACTTTCACATAGTTTTAATGGAAGTTGAATAAAAGGAATTATTTTTTTTCTTTAACCCCTTAAGGACCAAATTTAATAAAAGGGAATCATGACATGTCACACGTTATGTGTCCTTAAGGGGAATTGTTTATATTAACCAACACCCCTAAGAGCTGTATTTCTTGTCACTCAACCACCTCGTAAATATGGTAATTTACCGAAAACATTTATAAGGGACTTATGCAAGATTATTAATTGAGAATTAAAACTAAATGTCAAATTGAAAGCAAAAGTGTCTGAGCTGGAAGCATAGCTAACAGAGAATTCACTTTGAAGTAACTTCAAATTATCGCTTTAGGGAATGTCCCTGATATCCTCCTTAACTCACCAAAATCAGTCAGAATTATTCACTAAAGTAAGAGTTTTAAGGAATTCAAAGTGAATTTGAAAATTTAGGCCAAAATAGAAGTATTCTCCCAGTCAATTCTGTTTTCAGTCTGGTTATTTTGGGCTTACATTTGTAATATACGTACTTGAATTGCTGTCAATTGTCTGTTTAACGAACATTCCTGAGTCTGAAAAATATAGGTTCCCTGGGATATCAACACTTGTTAAATCGACTGAGTCTTTCAGACTTTGATTTTAAATTGTTCATAATAAGTATCTTTTTAGTTTATTAACCCTTTTAGTGGTAATTGTTTGGGTTATTCTAGTATAAAATGGTTTCATTGTAGCACATGTAGCTGTTTATTTTAATAAAGAAAAATGTGGTCCTATTTTACTATTTACAGACAAAATACCATTATAGCAAAAAAAAAAAAGGAAAAAAAAACTCCCTTACAGGAACACTACACACACACCACAACCACTATATCATTACCGTTGCCTCTCCTGACCTACGCACCATCGGGGTTACCTTAGACAGAGAGCGTCTGTGTCTCTGTCAGCTGTAGTTGAGGCTGGGTGCGGCACCTTCTGGACCCCAGGTAATTTTTCTAACTGTTTGCTGTAGTAGTTTTGGCGTTTGTTAAATTTTTATAATATTTAGTTAGTGCAATGTTTAGTTCAAATCATTTGCAAATTAAACAGGTAAACAGGACTATGTCATGTTATGTCTTTTTGAAATCGTTACACAAACACTGGGCCTGAGGGCTACATATGTACTTCGAAACTCCTTTAATTACAGATTAGAGAAATGTAGTTAAACAGGAACTACTCATTTTAAATTTATAAACTATATGCAATTATCTTTAATGCAATGTAAGCCTAACTGCCTGTCTGCTGTCTCTATTATCCTGTCTAATAATTTTCATTTGGATTTGAATTATTGGTATTTATTAAGCAAAGGATTCATCACTGAAAGAGATCTTTTTACTAGAGAAACTTTGCTAAACATTTAATAGGGTGCCCAAGGCTTGCTAGGACTCTGTGTTACAAAACAAAGGTTTTCATTTGTAAATTGTGACATAATTATTCACCAAAGTGAACATTCAAAGTGAAATTCAGCTTTTATGTGTGATTAGTGAATAATCCTATAAAACTGCATAATGAAGAAAGAACTATATCCTCTTTAATCTGATGTGTTTTGAGCAACGAGATTAACAGATGTGTTGTTTTTTGGGGGGGGGGATGGAGGGTGGGGGTCATATTCAAATTGTATTCCGCAGTTAACTGTAAATGTGCGGTGGAAATATAATCTTGGAGAACAAGTATAGTTCAGTTACTTTTCTATGGTTTTCTTTTTATAACTTTCTATATATACCCATTCCATTTTCTCTCGTATCAGAATATTCAAGCACTCCGAAGCATATTTTAGGTATATACACATTTAAGACACATTACATGCACATTGTATACAAACTAGATTACACAACACATTTCTGTTTGTTAGAACTAGTCCAGCTCTGTGAGTAATGTTCAATAATATATATTTATTTGTTTTGCCATGTCTGGCTTTGTACATACTTTTTTTTTTTTTTACTTTTTGGATTATATATTGAATTACTTTAGTATTATTTTTTTTTTACATTGCAGCAAGAACTGTAATACATTTTTTCAAATGTGTGTATTTTATGTATGTTATAAAATAAAAACAATACAAATTTTCTCATTTTATATGAAATGTTTTTGTTTAATTTTTTTTCTATTTTTTTTTATTTCAGACATGTACATGCCTTATATAGTTTTACTAGTGCTTCTATATTTCAGGTCTTGGTACTCTTGTCATCATAAATATTTTGTGTTATCTTGTTTATTTCCCCAAAAACCCCTCCCTAGTCTCCTTACCCCACCCCCTTCCCCACACCTCATCCCTTATTTACTGTTATTGTATATACTTATTTATCTATTTTACTCTATCCTTGTACTTTTTTATTTAATTTTTCCTTTATCATTTTCCTTTTCCCTTTGCTTCTTTCTCTTGGAGAGAGTGAGAATCACTTATATCTAGTATCCGATCCATATTTTGTACTTCTGTTTTTTTTGTCTGCCCGTTTAGGGGGATAAGATCTTTTACTTTTCTTCATCTCTCCACCCCTTTCCCCCTTCCTCCCCCCCCCCACCCCAAGTTTTCTTTTTCCTTTCCTCTTCCTCTTCTCCCTTCTTTTTTTTTCCTTTCCTTTTTCTTTCCTATATTTCTCTCTTCTCCTTTTCTTTCTGGTGCTCTTTTTACTGTGTTTGGTCCTTAATTTTATATTAAATTAGTGGTTCAAACAAAGCCTATTTTTAAGCGTGATTAAAAAAAAAAAAAAAAACGATCTTTTCCACTTTATGCAAGTCTGTAGACCAGGGGTTTCCTACCCAGTCCTCAAGTACCCCATACCAGCCCAGGATTTAGGGATTACTCTGTTGTCTAAAGTGTTTTTGTTTTTTTTGCTAAAAACACCTTAGACACAACTTGGTAATCCCTAAATCCTGGACTGTTAGAGGGTTCTTGAGGACTGGGTTCGGAACCACTGCTGTAGACCCTCATTCCCCTAGTTTACAAGTATGGCAGGTAATTGCTAGGTCTTAAATGCTCTCATTTTCTCTAACAACCCACAGAAGAGGTAACCAGTGTTTCCTGGAAGGATTTTGTGATAATCGAAGAAACTTTTAAATCTTATGAGCCATCCTCTTTCTAAAAGTATCAGTTATATTCACAATACTGGAATTTGTCAGGAATGGACAAGGAAATACAACATTTTAGACCAATGTACTCAAACTGGAAATTGTTGCCAATTGCAGCTATTTGTTAAGCTGCATTTTTGCCTGCAATTTGAAATCCTTTGGTTAGTTCTTTGATAATTCACAGTTTATAGAAACCCTGTTTTGTGTAAAACTATGAATAAGTATGTGCTAATAAAGGAACAATCCAAGCACCATAACCACCATGGCACACTATAGTGGTTATGGTGCCAGTAGTTTAGTAACAGTTTTACTTACCTGGAGTTCCTTGGGCACCGTTCCCTGCCTCCACTCAGTCACATGTTCTGTTCACTGAGCTGAGCCCAGTGGTGTTGGTCCTGCACTGCATGGTTTCGCTCACACAGAAGGACCCAAGGACTTTCCGGCTTTCACAAAGGCAGAGAGGAGGCAGGAGCAGCACCCAGTGGACCCCAGGTAAGAAGTTAAACCATAACAAAATGGTTTGACTACTTATATTGGGTAGTGCAGCGCACTCCTGGCATCATAACTATCACAATATAGTGGCTATGGTACTTAAAGTGTTCCTTAACACATAACCTATATTGCAGGCATTACAAGGAAAAATGAAAGTGACACTTCAGGTTAGTAGTGACACTTTTTTAATGCATTATATAATAATAGTTATTTATAAAGGTTTGGTACTAAGAGTGTCACTTTACATTAACTCTAGTTGAGTAGCTGCTCTCTTGTAAATTACATATCACAAGAGATATAAAATATTCAATAAAATAGTTATATTCATTAGTTATTAATGCTTCATAAACAGATTTAAGAAAAAAGAAATTTTTCATAAAAGGAACGCAAACCAGCAGTGTCCTTAACAGTCCCACATAGGTGAATGTTGCTGTCACTACTGTGTAATCCGGACACACAGGATTCCTGTAGCATACACAAACCCTCAATGTGCTAATTAATGGATGCTTGTCACATGCTGTCTAATAAATGGTGCTCTCTGATTAACATTATTGAACTTTTCTATCTTGTTTTTAAGATTTGTTTTTAAATCCAGAGACCCCATCGATACTTAGGACTTGTTTGTCTAAAGAGCTCATTAGAGAGCGGGAAATGTTAGAGCTTTATAAACTATAATAAAAATTCCTGTTAATTCCCAGTTTAATGATTAACCATGTGAATATGTCATATTTAGGCTTCTACTTTATTTTCTGTTTGAATAATAATTTCATTGTTTGTGGGGTTGTTTTCACTTACTAGCCAAATATATCAAGCAGAGCATTTTTAAAGAATTTTGCGTATATTTGTCCCCAGTATATTGATCCCCAGTACTTAAATAAAGCACCTTACATTTCACAGTGTGTCTGAATTTTTAATCATAACAATAAGATTTATTGTTCTATATGTTATGTGTTCGTTCACTTCTCTAAAATACCTAAAATGTATTCCATGTAAAACCACATTAGAAAACAGGGTACACAATGAGCTTGTTATCACATTTTATAAGTATCACGTTCAACCTTCTCTGTCAGGTATCTATGCAAATCACGTGACTTTTAAAATCTTTTTATTTTATTAAAGTTTCAATTGCAGCAAAACTCTACATTGCACTCCATTAAAACAAACAAGTTTGCAGAAATAATGGGGGCTTGTGAATTAGTAGATACTATTCCTGTAATCCGGTACCATTAACCTCAGAAATATTACTGTAAAATTACACAATAGCACTTTTATAATATTTAATAGGTGCAAATCAAAAAATAAATGACCAGATATCCTGCAGATGGATAATATAGATTGCCAGATATGCCATTAGTCTAATGCACATATACTATAAATAGATGTACTTTGCTAATTCCCAGCTTCTTTATTAAAATGCACTGCAGGGTGTTTCCCAGGGTGCCTGGACAAATGCCCTGTTAAATGCCCAAAGTCTTTCCTAATTTTTCATTCCCTGCCTGGTATTCATCAGCACCATGCCTATTAATTAATGAATAAGGGAACAATCTACTAGATATCTAGTGGAGAAATTTGCATCTCCTCTTGAGAGGAACCATATGTGATCAAGGAAAATAGTAAATGCCCCTTAAAGGGCCATTATAGTCACTAAAACAACTTTAGCTTAATGAAGCAGTTTTAACGCATAGATAATGCCTCTGCCATTTAAGAGTTCAATCACTTTTGTTTCTGTTTATGCAGCCCTAGTCACACTTTCGCTGCCTGTGACTGACACAGCCTGCATGGAAAAAAAAAAGGTTTTCATTTTCAATCAGATGACTTACTTTAGAAGTTCCCCCCGATTCTGTAAAATATACTTTAATCACACACAGGAGGCTCCTGCACGGTCTAGCAAGATATTAACAGTGCAGGAAATAAGACATTCATTACGGTGCAATGAAGGAAGTGTAACCATTAGATCTCACTTTACAGGAAGTGCTTAAGAAGGCTATACAGGTTACATGCAGGGAGGTGTGACTAGGGCTGCATAAACAAAGAAATTTAACTCCTAAATGGCAAATAATGGAGCTGTGAGGTTTCTTCTGTAAGCTAAGTTGTTTTGGTGAGTATAGTGTCCCCTTACCTTTATATGGTTTGCATTGCAATTTAACACAAAGGTAAATTAAGGCTGTACATCTTATATGATACCAACAATTACTTTTTGTTTGCCAGACCACCTAATTTTTATGGGAAAATATTTAGGGCAGAATATAATTTGCCTTTTTATTTAGGAGAAACTGCACAATGTATCAGTCAGTTGCCATTTTTCCTTTGGAGAAGAAATTACAATGGACCACTCGTCCTTCACCAATGTTATGGCACTCTGGTACTTGAGAACCCCTCATATCAAACAGGATATGCTTTCAAATCGAAGTCCTCATGATGAGATTTTTATACTTATTCGATAGGAAGCTGAGACATTCTGGTCACGTCACTCATTCTCAAAGAATAGTTACATGGGAAGTAATGAGGAAAAGAGAGACCACATATCAATATCAGCTCTCAAATATGATCAAGAATTGTAAAGGTGCTGAGACCGTGTCATCCATTCGGAACACAGAAAGTGGGCATTGCTTAGGTCAATCACTAAAATGTGAACTGGCAAGATTTCAAAGTGAATTCAAATTGAATTAAAAAATTGTAGGCCAAAGGAACTGAATTAGAAAAATTCTCCAAGCTAAGTTATTTTGAATTAAAATTCAAATTCCTGTCAAGTCATACTTTAATGAATAACCCGCTCTAGTACTAACGTGGATACGTATTTTAATACATAAGATTTTGAGCAAACATGTTTATTGGCCAAACAATAACAATTTTTGAATTACTGTCTCAGCAAAAACTGTGACTCTCTTAGGAGAGATGAAATTAGTACCAAATTAAGCATGTTTTCAATAGAATTTCGGTACAAAAGACCCAACTTGGGAACCGAATCATATGAAGCAAAAGGACGCAACAAGGGGCCGAAAAGTGTACTGCAAAATATATACAAAATAAGTAATATATTTCATTTTCTGCCATTTTGTCACAGATCAAGTGAGAAAAAGTATCCAACGGAGGGAAAATGAGCAGTAAAAAAAAAAAAAAAACTATAATATATAAATATAGATTTATTTTTTTTAACTGCTTTTCTTTTTTCACCTCGTCACTTCTCACGTGAATAAAATCAACATTTACTGACGGGGTACATTTTTGCTTGGCCCAAATTTCAGACCAAAACGAAGTCTAGTATAGATATAGCTTGTGCTCACTGATTTATGTCTGGCCTCTGGGCAATACCTAGCTACACCCTAACCAAATAACTGCACACCAACAAAACAATGAACCACTGCATATTATCATTGCAAAGTACCTTAGTAACTGAAAGAAAATAAACTTGATAGAATCTAATTGGCAGTGGTTAGGCTCTCTGCCAAGAGAAACCAATAGTTTGTTTGGCCTGGTCAGGTACAGATGTGACAAATACTTAAACTAAGTTTGATTGTTTCCTTAGACGTTACTTGTTTTTAAATAAAATAAAGGAAAATCCTTACACAGTCACATCATTTACGAGTTAATGCTTGCCCTGGTAAACTAGCAGCGCTGAATTTCAACCACAAAAATAGCAAAACAGACACTGAATTGCAAAAATAGCATAATAGACAATAAAGAGCTTGAAGTGAGTCATCAGATTACTTGCAGGTGATGAGGAGGTGAGAAATTCCAGAGCTGAGATCTTATGACTGCTATTATATTCTGCAGAGATATACAAAAATAAAAATCCTATATTTACACAACAGCAGATTTTAGGATATATTAAAGCCTGTGTTTACTTGCTGGAAGTTATGGGTATATTCCAAGTTCCTGATCTTTGAGACTGCGCTTATTAAATTTTTTTTTAGACTGAACAACTGCACCTTCCTAAAAATCTGACTTTTTTTTTTTCTCTTGAATGGATGTCTGATGGGACTGCTAAGGTATACTGGTGTCGTTTTTGCTGAACTAAGTCCAACCATATCTACTGTAAGCATAACTCCAACATATATGCCAACACTGAGCACAATTTGCATGTGCATGCCTAAAAATATATTTTTATGCTTACATATTCATTCACATTCCCCCTTTAGAGAGACACTCTAATCACCAAACCAAATTGAAAAGGCAGTCTTTAAATTGTTTACTATGGAACCTTTATTGTCTGTTACTACAGGTGCTTCCTATTACAGTCCTGCAATCTTTGCAGGACCGATGTTCATTGTCTTCATTCTGAAGATGATGAACGCTCCCCATAGAGTTGCATTTGGATAATGACTGTGAGACTAGCGCAGTGAGGGTTTAAAGGTGTGTAGAATGTAATTATTTTCAATTTAAAGGGGAGCTAAATCTAATTGGGGAAAAAACTCTTACATTAGAGTTTCTGTACTTATTGGGCCAATCCTGACCAATTCTGCTCAAGGCTGCTTCATACCCTCTCCCTATATGTGCAAAATGAGTTTGAGATTACAATACTGCAATACCTAATAGAAAAGGAAAAAACATTACTTCTGCACAGCTAAACGTCCTTGCACCATTGTGGCAGCTAATTCGTTTTATAAACAAATTGTACTGTGCTGCAGAATATGTTGGCTCTTTAGAAATGACAGTAATGCCATAAATGCCAGTAATAAATAATACATTTTAAAAAATAAACAAAGATAAAAAAGAAAAAATAATGGACCAAGCACAATAATAATGCTGGTGCCACCAAGTACAACTGAAATTTAATGAAGGACACTCAAAGTTACAAACATTTTGCTTATAGAAACCTTTTCATATAATGCCTTTAAAAGGAAATAATACACTTACCCACACATATATAGTAAATAAACACCACCTCCCAGCATGTACATGCCAGTCCCCAAGTTACAAATAGTTTAGAGAGGCTTCAAACACTTAAAAGTTGCTAAATGTTCTTATATCCCACTCTGAGCAAAACTCTTGTGAGGTGAGACATTGGGTACCATCACTGAGCCATGGAGGCTAGAATGCTGGGTGCCAGAAAACAGGGGCATAAAACCATCACTCTGCAGAAAGAAAGGAAATTTAAGCAAAGAACAGAACTATATGTGGTGTCAAAATGGCAACTCCAAATCAACCTTAAATGAACAAGCTTCCATGAGGCAAAGCTCCCCATATATTTGTTGGCCTCTCCAGCATTAAACCACATTTAACCCTAAGTAAAACGGGTCAAACTTAACATTAAGTTCTGGTATTAAATATAAAATACTAACATAAATGATACTATTTAGCACAACCATCCTAAGCATAGACACAGAGAGTATTTTAAATATGCAATTGTATTATTAAAGGTAAATAAAGTTAACCAACTTTGGGTAGTCCTCGCTACAGAAAGATCTATGGGCCACTGGACTGCCAATCTGTTCATCATGGTCATTCTTTATTTTAACTTATAGCATATACTATATTCTATTCAATAGATATATCAGCTTGGAAAAGTGAAGGATGGACCCGAGGATGATCAATGCTTAAGAAAAATGAATTAGATTTCTCTTTATGAAGGAATTGGCAAAGGTGTGGACTGGTACCCCAAGGCCTTGTAAAAACTTTTTTTTATTTATTCCTGTTAAACGTCTTTCCAGACATTTCAAGTCAATGTATTGTCTGCATTGATGTTCAACAGTCTGTTACGGTAAACGTCTTGACTATGTTGATTTTCTACAGTTTATTATAGAATAAAGTTGAAAAACAGGAACTTCTGCCAACAAACAACTTTCATGACGTTCTATGTTAAAGGTTCTCTTCTTAAAGGCTGAAAGTGCATTTGGGGTGTGTTCCATATATGATACCAGAATTCTTTGCTAAAGAAATTACCACAGTGATTA